AACCAAGGATTAAGTTATGCTTAGAATAATCTATGGTTTACTAATAGCTTGACCACCCATATGATAAGTAGGACATTAGCCCACTTCTCTATGCATGGAATGTTTGATTAAATGCTAGTAGAAATGTGTATTGAAACAAAATTTGTGGTTTTATCTTGACTAAGATTTCCAGTTAAATTACTGCATGTATGCCTAGATTATGAAATCACTAATTAATGCTCGAGGGTGTATAATAACGATCTTTTGGGAAAATAATCATTTGAAATGATATTGTCATTAGAAGTTAAACCGCGTACTCAGATCAGTCGGTCGAGCTTCTGCTTGTTAGTTGTAAGTCCCCTCTGGTCTGGGGTTTGATTCTCCCCAAGTGTAAGGTGTGGTACTCAAATTACTAGGTGAACGAGGGGTGGTCGGGGCTCATATCATAGCCTTCGACCATTCCTTATATATATATATATTATTTTGGGGGAACAATTTTATAGACATTAACACCTTCCTTTTTCTTATTTGCTTGCAATTATTTATGGGCAAAATCACTGAGTAAGAAGAACATTGTATTTTTCTCGCCGAATCAAATTCTTTTTTCTCTAGATGGAATAGCTTTCTTAACTGTAGTTGAGTTCATTTTATCTTTGGCTATCATTATGCTAGAAGATTGAGTTGTTCATGCAGATATCCATCTTGGATAACATTATCTCAAGATATTTTGAAATAATTATGCTACTATGGCAAAATTTTTAAAAACAACAACAACAACAAGCCTTTATCCCACTAAATGGGGTCGGCTAGATGAATCATTTTTGTCTATTGTGTCTTATTGAGTATCATTTTCATTTAATTCTAATACATTATTTTTTTATTTATACAACATATGCCCAGGTTATTTTAGGTCCACTTCTACCTTTCTTAACATAAGTCTAATCTAAAACATCCACTCTTCTGATTGGATCATCAGATGGTCGATTTTCAATGTGACCAAACCATCTAATAAGACTTTTCTAGTCTTGTATGCCACTGAGGGCCACTGAGGCAATACCAACCCTTTCAAAGATATATTCGTTTCGCATTTTGTTTAAGTGTAAAACCACTCATCCACCTAAGCTTCATCTTTGCAACACTTTGTTTTATTCTTCTCTTTTATAGGTCAACATTCTACGACATAAAGCATTGCAGGTCTCACTGCCATCTTATAAAATTTTCCATAAAGTCTAAGTGCTACTTTTCTATCACACAATAGGCTTGATGCATTCCTTCAATTTAACCATCCAACCTAAATTCTAGTAATAACATTCCCATCTATATCACCATCACTGTGAATAATACCCGAGATATCTAAAGCGTTCACTTTTTTTAATGATTTGATCACTCATTGTTGCAACTTTGCCACAAGATCTATTTCTTCTAAAATTATATTCAATGTATTCAGTTTTAGATCTGCTCGAACGAAAGCCTTTAACTTAGATCTCCATAATTCAAGATTTTTCTAACTCTTTCTCTAGTCTTATCCACAAGAAGGATATCTATCATCAACGAAAAGAATACACCAAGGTACATCCTCCTTAAATGTCTAGTAAGAGCATCCATAGATAAAGCAAAAGACATGGGCTTAAATCTGATCCCTGATGTAATCCAACTGAAATAAGAAAATCCTTGGTCAATCCTCATTCTGTTTGAACAAAGTAACAACTCTAATTTACGTATCTTTAATGATTTGAATATAAGTCATATCAACACCTTTCTTTTCTAGAACTGTCCAAATAACTTCTCTTGAAACTTTATCGTAAGCTTTTTCTAGATCAATAAAACTCATACGTAGATCCTCCTTACTCTCTTTGTAATTCTCCATCAAACCTCTCAATAAGTGTATAACTTTCATAGTAAACTCACTCTGCATAAATCCAAACTGTTTATGAGAAATTTGTTTCACGTCATAACCTATGTTCAATTACTCTGATAATTTTAATGTGTAACACATTTACTTAATTCTTCTATAATTTTTGCATAATCTTGTGTATCCAATTTATTCTTAAAAATGGGGGCCAAAATACACTTCCTCCACTCTAGTTTTTTTTAGTTTATAAAATAATATTAAAAAGTTTAGTAAACCTAGAAATTCTCAGATCTCCTAAATATTTCCACACTTCTATTGCGAGACCATCAGATCCTAATGATTTTTCACTTTTGATTTTCTTTAAAGTCTCATCAACTTTCTTTTTTCTAATACGACGGTAAAAATAAAAAGTTTTATTATTATTAACAATGTTAAGATCACTAAAGCCGGTCGTATTTTCAAAAACTTCATTGAAAAATTTATCAAAATAACTCACCCACCTATGTTGAATATCTTCATATAAAAAATGTACATTTTGATTTTCATATTTAATACACTTTAATTGAATTAAATATTTGTTTTTCTTTTTTCTTTATTTGGCTTATTTATACATATATGTTTCACCTTTTTTTGCTTCTCATCTATTATTTGGATCACAAAGAGTTCTCTCAGATTTCTTACGGGCCACTTTATATTTTTCCCAATTCTCTAAACTTAGACATTTAAATTAATTTTTATAACAAATTTTCTTATATTTTATCTTTTCTTGCACATTAATATTCCACCACCAACTATTTTATTTTTAATTTTTTTTTCTTTTAATTCCTTAAGTACATAAAATGTAATTTTAGTTTGAGTAGAACTAAAACTGAATACATGGAATGTAATTTTAGTAGTAGTAGCATAGTGGCAGAGTTGTAACTATTGGTGATCAAATCATTGAACATTTTGGATTTCTTGAGTCAATTGTTCAGAGGAATAGTGATCTAGATGGGGATGTTATTAGTAGTGTTCAAGTTAGTTCATTGAAGTGGAGGAATATCACTAAAACTGGAAGGAAAATTTTATAAGATGGTGGTGAGACTTGCAATGCTCTATGTCATAGAATGTTGTCATAGAATGTATGTCATAGAATGTTGGCCTTTAAAAGAGAAGCATAAAATAAAGTTAAGTGTTGTTGAGATGAGAATGCTTAAGTGGATGAGTGACTTAACACCATAGAGACAAAATGCAAAATAAATATATTCGTGATAGGGTTGGTGTAGCTCCGGTGGTGACAAGATTACAAAAAGTCATCTTAGATGGTTTGATCACATTAATCGTCGACCATCTGATGATCTGGTTAGGAGAATGGATGTTTTAGCTTTGACTGATGTTAAAAAGTTGCAGATGTGGAACTAAAAAGACTTGTGCATATTGTATAAACAATGATCTTAATCTATTAGAATTAAATGAAAATATGATACTCAATAGACTGCAATGAAGAAAAAAGATTCATGTAGCCGACCCCACTAAGTGGGATAAAGGCTTGTTGTTGTTGTTGTATTCTCTAAGTACATCTTTTGCCACTTGTTTAATAGTGTTTATTACTTTATCCCACAAATAATTAGCTCCTTCATAAATATCCCAAATTTTTAAATTTTGAAGTTTGCTAATAAAATACTTTTATTTGTGTCTTTTAAGTGCCCATATTTAATTATAGAATAATATTTTTGTTGTTTTATTATTATTTTTTATCTTCGAGCTCTTTATCTTAAAATTTAAAACTAATGATTGATGTTGTTTACTTAAATTTTTACTTGGAATAACCTTACAATCTTTACATTTTCTACCATTTCTTTTTCTCATAAGAAAATAATCAATTTGTGTTTTATTAGGTCCTTTCTTATGAGAATTTTAGAAAGAATAAAATAATCTCCTGATATTTTGTTATAAATATATCAGGATGCGCTTAAAAATCATTATATATATATTTGAAAATAATCATTGTATATACTTAAGATTACTGCAATGCGAAGTCTTCATGTATAATAATAATCTCAAAACAAATCTTTATATTCTAATCTCCTGACACTTTCTTTTCAGAAATGGATACTAGATATTTAATATATGATTAATATAAATGAAGCGTGTAAATTTTAATTTTCAGTTCAAATTTAAAATAAAATGATGTGCACTATATAATCTAAGCATCAAAATAAATGTTCTAGAATCAAATTGTATCTTTGTGATATTCAAATTCAAATTTCAAACTAATGATTACATAACTTGATAGTTAAGTTCAAAATAAATTTTAATCTAGATTAAAAAGGTCTTAAATTAAAATTATGTTATGAATCTTTTTTAAATTTAAAATGATAGTAAACATGCTATAATCTTGAATTCAAATTAAGATATCATATCATATTATAGGAAACTGCCATGTGAATTTAGAATTAGAGAAAAGTTTTTGGAGAAGTAGGCCGGTGGATTTTGTTCCTTTGCGAAGCAAGTGTTTTCAAAGTGCAATGCGATGCAAAAGGCTCCATTTTTGCTTCAAAATATAAAGCGCAAAGTGAAGTGATGATTTTATTAACCAAATGCTAATAAGTTATTCAAAATTATTAATATATAAATACATTCATTAACAATTATAAAATATAAAGTATGACTTAAAAGTCGATATAAAATTGAAAAAATATGGTTCAATATATAACTTGAAGACAAAGATTTAGGGTAAACGTATAAATATAAATTTCAAATAATTTCTAATAGTTTGTTGCAATAATTAAAACTTTAAAATTGCAAAAAAATTCTATAAATTAACTTGAGTGCTTTTGAAGTGTGCCTCAGTGAAGTGAAATGGTTGTCGCGTGTTTCGCTTTTCTTTGCACTTGAAGCACGCTTCAAATTGCGTTTTAAAAACATTGTTGTGAATCCAACTTTCATCTTTTGTAACATTTGAAGGTTGTACTTATTAAAAAGAAAATGCTTCTTAGCTTAAAATATAATGTTTGTAGAACGTCAACCAATTAAAAGATTATGTTTCAGTCTTGTAACTTTGTCTTTATTATTATTACTGATATTATTGTTTTTGGGGGAGGGGGAGCACTCGAAACTCTCTTGAAATTCTCATTTTTTTTCAACCAATAAGCTACGAGATTAAGCGCTAACTTGTTCTTCATTGCAGATTGTGGTTAACTCCATCAATGATCCAAAGTTTGGGACAGTTTTCGAACCATCTTCATTAATCAAAGCTTTATTAAATCTGATTCCTCATTTTGTTGAGGAAGCTGGGGCTAATTAACACATAGTTTCAGGTGAAATGGAATAGTTATTTTATTCTCTTTTTTGTTCCTTTTTTGTTTTAATATAATTCCACTACATGTTTCTGCTAAAGTATGAAACTAAATAGGGACCTCCGATTATGTTGATGGTTGAATTTTAATGCTAAGCTTGTAACCTTTCGAAAGCTGATATATATTGAGATTTTTCATTTTGTTTCAACCAATATGCTTATGCAATCGAGCACTTTAAAAGCATTTTCTAGTTAATGTTGTGAGCTTGCCAAAATAATGGATATTGAGACCCTAATATAAAACACTAGTTTGATTATAGATGTTAATCAATTATGTACGAATAACTGTGATAATAAAATTTATCTTTAAATAGAATTAATTTGTTATTTTTTATTATTCTTAAATATTTAACTTATCATCTTGAAATACATTGCATAGAATCTTCTGATATCACGTCTTTTCCTTATTTTTTTCTTTAGACCTACTATCTTAAATGTGCACATACTTGTTGCTATTTTTGTTCCTGTTTAGGAGTGAAATCCATTTTAATTTGGGTGGCAGGTACGTTCGTATGCTGGGAATTTATGTGAAAGGAAATGGAGATGATATTAAATTAACGGCTGTTGATTTGCACTCATCATAAATTACTTTTGTTGCTTATTATTTTTTCCTCTTTTTGATAATATTTATTCTCTTAATAGGAATCCTTTGGTGTGTCAGCTTCATGTCTTCCATCCCTCTATGATGGATGAACAGAAATTATACAGAAAATCAACGTAATAAAGGGGCTGGCATAGGGTTTAGCCAACATCTACTTGCCTGTTATATTATTTCCTAAAAACATGCTAATTTTATTGGTGGAATTGCATACATAGCACTAAACACTAGATTTTAAATACCGCACACCAAAACTTTAAATTTTATACGCAGCACCTAAAACACCTAAATAACAACAAAATGGAACCTTTTAAAAGCCCAATCATCCCCCACTCACGCTGCTAGTTGCTCGCAACGCTTGCAATCTCACTAGCACAACACTGAAACGTCTCTCCAACGACGTGTTCTCTCGGAATATTAGGTTTAAGTTGGTTGACACTGAATACAGATTTTTGGCAGGTTAAGGTCGATGCCCATGTTCTCATCTCTCTAGTCCATGAGAACCGTCTGATTTAAATGGAATTGGTGGTACGATGTTTTCACGTAAAAGAGTTCAAACTCGAGGACTCAAATAACAACTCATTTAAAAAGAATAATAATAATACATCAAACCAAAAAAAAAAAAAGCACTATACTTGAGTAGGTTAACAACCCAAAGAGAATAAAAAAACTTTCATGCTAAAAGGAAGGAGAAAAAAATAACACCAGCAACTTTTGAAATAGCCTCAACAGTTATCTTCGATATTAGCAGAAATAACAAGAGTCAGCCAATCCAAGAGTAAGAGCAAAAAGCATGAGGAAACCACAATATAAACCATTCTCTGAGAGAATGACCTTTAACAAACCTACAATGAAATCATAAAAAATAATAATTAACATTACAAAGGGGACAAGAAAAATAAAATATTAATCTAAAACAAAAAAGCATAGGCTAATTACAACAAAATAAAAGAAAAAGGAGAGCCAAAAGAAAAATACCAGCTTAATAAAATATAATACAAAATTATGGGCAGAAAAAAACATTAAAACTTTATCCCAGTTTTCGAATATATTCAAATATATAAGATCATAAATATTCAAAAATGATTGAATTTTAATAAACGGTTGGAATTCATCAAAGCTGACACTAATCTCAAATCAGTTGGGAAAATTAATTCTGAATATGAATTTATCAGACAAATAAAAGAATATCCACCAATTAGGAAACAACCACTAAAAATAAGAAAAGCAACAAAACATAAAAAAAAAACAACAAATAAAAATAAGTAGGAAACTAACACACAAAATCAAATAGTAAAAAATCATAAAATTCAGTAATAAGGTCAGGAATATTTCTCTTGAATCTTTATTCTCTGTTATTATAAGAAATCATTCAATGAATATTACCAATAATCAATTTCTCAAACTAAATGTAATAGGTAGTAATTGGCAAAACAAAAATAAATAAATAAATAAATAAGTTTTCCAAATTTTACAAAAATTATTATTAGAATGATAAAGTACTTGAAACATATTAAAGGGTTCAATAAAAAAAAAAATTAGATAGATGCCAAATATATCTAATCACAAATAGTAGTATTAGAAATATTTTTTTGTATGTTAGAGGCTTGAGAAAGAAGTTCATAAGATAGATGCCAAATATCAAGTTGAGAAAGAATTGAATTATGCTTCTCCTTTAGCTCAAAAATATATTTGGAAAACACATTATAAGAATTCCAATGCTAACCTCTAGGAGCATACTTAATTTTCTGAAGTTTATTTCAAAGAGAAAAAATTGGGTCCCCTTTTAGAATAACCTTCAAAGCAATAATAACAACTTAATAAAATTAGGGCATAGTGTCCAAAAATTTTTAAACATAAATCCATAATAAAGGTTTAAAACTTTAAAAGTGCACTAAAAAAAATATTAATCTAAAAAGGATTACAAAGAGCTTTATCTAAAAGACATTTAATAGGATTATAAAGTTGGTTATTAAATCAACTAAAAGAAAAACTGAAATGTTGAATTTCAATATTACTTGCATTAGAAATGCAATTATTAAAAAATAAAGTTTGCTATGACCTGTGGGGACCACCCATCTTATCATTAATACTCCAAATACAATTAAAATCACTAGAAATAATTTAAGGTTCAAACATGCTTCAATAATAGAAATAATATATTCCCAAAGATTCCTTCTATTAGAAGCAAAATTATCAGCTTAAACAACAGCAACAATGAATTTAATAGAATAAGAGAAAGTGATTTGAATATGAATGAATTGAGAATTAGAATTAATAACAAAAAAAATATATCTTGATTTCATTTAATCTAAATTCTGTCATTCTCAGCAGTATTAAAATTATCCGTACAATCTTCATTTGAAAAAGTTTAAATTACTTTAAAGCATTAATATCATAAAGAGTAAAAGAGGATAATTTTATTTCAATAAAAGAAAGAAAATGAATCTTATGATTTTTTAAAAGATTTTTGCATTCCATAATTTTGGATTCACTATTAAGCCCGCTTACATTCCAAGATGCCAATTTAAAAATATGAAAATAGAAACGAAAAAAAGCTAAAAAATCATTTTGATCTATCCTTCTTAGCCCTTGAAAAAATAAGGTTAAAAAAAATGGAATGCTTTTGGTATGAGCCATAATAAATTATTAACAACACTAACATGATTAAAACATGAAGAATTACCAGCATTAACATGAATAGCATTAGAAGAATTACCAACAACACCTTAATCAACATTAGATGCATTTTTCATAGAAATATTAGAATTATATCCAACAGTAGAAGTATTACTAATATAAATATCAACATCCAAATTAATATCAAGTTCAGGAGCAGCAAATAAACCTGTCGATTGAGCAATGACCTTATCCATAAATATATTAGAATTACCATTTAAATCAAAATTAACCTCTGATGGTAAAATAGTAGTAATGTCCGCTGAAGTTTCATTACTAATACTAGGAACATTAACAGAGATGTAAAGATTTGGTGTAATCACTAAACGGTCAACATGATTTCTATTTCCTTGAAAAGATTTTTTAGTAATTACAGGTTTACTATGATTTCTCTAATTACCAAATTAAATAATTTTCTTATTAAAATTTCTACTAAGAAGTGGATTTACTGGAATTTGAAGGACTATGAGCAAAAGTAGAACATGTCTTGCAAAGTAAAGGTTTCATTCATAAATATTATGAATAAATTGTTTTTTTCTATTGTAACGAGAGTAACATAATCAGGTAAATCAAAATCCACATTAACCTGGATGTTAACCCTAAAAAATGTCAGACAATAACTTTTAGCAGTCAATAGATGCACAACCAATGGAATTCCAATCTTACTCTCAACTTTCGAAATACAACATTCTGACAAAGAAAATAAAGAAAGATTAAGAATATTAACCTAAATAGAGACTTCTTTGATGTCTTCTATGACATGATGAAAATCATGTGACCATTTTTTAAAAAGAAAAGGCTTACCCTGAATAAAATAGGGCAACCGGCAAGAATCATTTGAAAATCCTCAACATGATTAAATTTAAACCAAAAAAATCCTCTGTGAGAGAAAGAAACTCAACTGAGTCTTTGAGTTTCCACAACTTACCAATAGCTTCAAGGAGATAACCATAGAAAGCCTTTTACCTAAAGCATAACCAAGTATTGCAAGATCCCAAGATTTTGAACCTTCTTCAACCACAGATTCAAAGAAAAAGATTTTCTCATCTACACATGTGACATAAGATAAATTAAAACCCAAGGAACCCAAAAAATTAGAAGAAATTAAGCCTTTCCAACATAAAGCCTGACTAGATCTGATGATAGATAGAATAAGAAGAGAAGAAACGAGAGGGGGTAAAGAGGAAGGATCCATGGTAGAAAAGGGGACAAAAACCATAAAACCTAATAGAAATAAAAATAAAAGAAGAGGTGAAAGAAAGATCAAGAGCTTAACTTCCCTGAGAATGGGATGGCGAAACCGCCGTCAAAACACGACTCTTTTCGATCGGATATCTTAGGTTGTGTCTGCAATGAGGCTTGTTGCAATACAAGAATTATTAAAGTAGGAGAGGACACAAAACTTAGCTGATGTCTTGGGTCTTCGCTTTATGGAATCAGACTGATGAATACCTTAAATTTACGAATGAGTTATGTAAAATCTAATGTTTTCAGCATATGCATATAAATCCTTTTTTTGAATTTTTTTTTTGTTTGTGAGGTTGTTTAGTTTGGAATAAATCCATTGTAAGTAAATTGAATCTTGGTGTTTCAAAATTATTTCTTTTTGTTTGAATAAAAAATAAATTTAACCATTTAAATTTTTTCTTATATTTCATAATGGAAAAATGTATAAATTGAGTTAATTTAAAATACATTGCATCGCAAGAAGTGAAGAATATTTGACACAATAATCAGAGATCTCCTCAAACTTGGAATCTGAAGTCATGCCACCTCTCTAATCAAATGTTATCACCTTGTGGCCTCCCCAACATCACACTCGTAAGCACGTGATGACCAAGCCTTGTCTCATATTAGGACCTCTGCAATCCCTCTCGACATTTTGCCTTACATGATCTCGCTGTTAATTTTGTATTTCTTATCTCACGACTCATTCTATCTTTATGCAATGACCTTACCATTTCATCCCCCTAGCATCCTAACTTTTAACCTTTTGGTTCCGGATAAAATACTCGACTATCGGGCTACTATCTCATCCATTCTAGCATCCTACCATAACATTGACCACTTCATCCCATATGGCAGCATCTCTTGCATTAAATTTAAGAAAAAAAATAGATTTTAGCCTCAAGATTTACAAAGTATATTATCTTTTTCTTTCTGACCAAACATCACTCACTTAAAAGACTAATAAATAAAACTTATTTGACTTTATAGGCTCTGAACGAAGGGAGAAGGCCGAAAGAAACAACTAGCTCATCTCATTTCAAGTGCCGAAGGGGTCCAAAGCACTAAAAATTGCAAGCCAATATTACACTTCATTGTGATAGTGATCGTTTTTCTACACTTGAAGGATGAGTGGAGTTACAGTTGGAACTGATTCCGATTTCCATAAAAATCACTAGGGGCATTTACAAATATACCACATCATTCTAATATATTTATACATCTAAGACTTCAATTTTAATATTTATTTGCTAAGACAATTTTTTTTTCAACATTAAAAATATCATTATCACCAATTTTTTGAAAAAAATGCTATAAATATAAATATGAAAGCCTAGATGTTAGATGTTTAAATAGATAAGAATTGTGTGGTCGCATGTAAAGCCATGGTGACATTGTTGTCTTGTGAATGCATTATTAGATTTAATCTTATATTAAATAATTATATATATATATATATATATATATTTATTCTCTCTCGCATTCCACATCCACTCA